AACAAAAACAACGCCCCCCAAAACCTCTCATTAATCCACCTCTCTCATAAGCTATGATTAAAAACCTCAGTGAAAATGATTGGCTCCATGCCCAGAAAAACTATAAGATCAATAACCCAAATGGGCTTAATGATGCCCTTGCAAAAACTATAACTTCTGTACTTCTCCCTTGTTCTGGGGAAAAAAAAAACACAAAACAAAACTGAAAAATGCCATATCCTCCAAAAGTTAATTTCTCTGCATTTTTTGGTAAATAGGATTTTTCCCCCCTCTGTTAAATGACATTTTCCATCTGCAATAGCAATAATATGAAAAATCACAAACTGTATCAGTGATTAGTTTGTCTGAGCCTAAGAAGTTTCATTAACATTTCCAGTATCTCATTTCACTCATGAGCAGTTTAAAATTATGGCATTTGTATTCTTATCCAAGGTCAGTATTTTTTTTTAAATAGGTCTCTTTATGCAATTCAAGTTGTTTGTACCATTAGGCTTGATACAAAAGTTCTAGCTTACCACTAAAAAAAAAAAAAAAGCCTTTGTTTCAGAAACAAAAATGACTGAGACACAATGCTCTGCCCTGTAGTTTTATAACCATCTTTTATCCCAAACCACTACAAACTGCATAGTTATTGCTTCATCCACCAACAAAATGCAGCCACCTCTGGGGTGGTATGAGACCACATCCCCTGGAGCGTGCATAGTGATACAACAATACACAATACCCTCTTGGTCAGAAAACAAAGAAAGCAATGTCTAGTTGAAACTACTGGAGGAAACAGGGCACCAGAATGCAATGACTATAGTTTTAGTCAAGTCACTAATTAATGCCCCATCAAAGGGACCCCTAACACAGGCAAGGCAGCTCTTGGACTGACAAGCACACGTGAAAGCCATGGCAGGAACAGAAGCACTGAGCTGAGGAAATTAGGAGGAAAACAGATATATAGAGCTGCATCTAATACTGGTACAGTACTTAGGTATACCAAAGAGATCTGGCAGCATCATTCAAGATACAGACACTCAGCAGCCCTGAGAGGAGGCAGGACAAATAGGCAGTCAACAGAATAGGGAGACTCGTTCCCTCCCGTGCTGGAAGTCAGCAAAAGGGAAACAGGGCAAGGGAAGGACTTGCATGGGAAGAAAAAGGGAGAGCACAGGAGGACAGGTGTGAGTGCAGGCAAGGAGAAAGATGGCCAGAGAGTTTGGAGGAGGTACACAGTTAAGGAGGTGAAGGGAACAGTGGAGGTATGAGGATGCAGAAGAGAGTGGGTAGGAAGATGGGAACTCAGGGGGAAGCCTGGGCAGGCCTTCAGGGATAAGCATACAACAGAGGGATGGTAGCAAGGGCAAACCCTTGCCCTCCTGACAAGCAGGTCGGATAGGAGAGGGAAGGGAAGCAGTTAAATTGCCACTTCGCAATTACTGAAACTGGAACCTGAACATAAACAGCCCTGCACCAGTGAGAAGCACCAAGGACACCAGTAGCTGCATATCCTTCTCTGTCTCCTCCCAACACACACCCACCCACCCACAAAACAAGCTACAGGAATGCTACACGGCAAGTGATCCCAACAGAGTTTCTCCCATGTACCTGCCTCTATCCTACCCTGCTTTGTACTTCCACCCTCTCTCCTTATACACGTGGGAATAAATCAGAGTAGCGTTTGGCTTCCTCTTGCCATCAGAACAGCTCATTTCTTACAGCCCTGCTTGGGACCTAATTTTGCCAGTAGCCCTGTTGGTTTACCACCTTATCTCTACAAAGAAACACAGCCTCTAATGAGTAGCCATGGATTAAAAATACACAGTTCTTCTTTTGCTGTGCAAACAACTATGGTGTTTTAGTGCCAGTCCCCCATATTACCCAATTTCCTTTAATGCAGGGACCATTTTATTACCTTTCATATGTGTATGAAGTTATCAGGGAAGGCAACTGTTTGCCCTGTTTTATAGGCCAAAAGTTTTGTGGGTTTTTTTTAAGTCTCTGATCACTGATTTTGTCACTCTTGTTCTCTTTTTGGAAAGGACCTGCCAACCAGGGCCATCTTTTCAAACTGCTGTCCATTGGGAGCCTGCTAAGTAAGGTAAGCAGCCCTGCTAGGAGGGAGCAGCAGCCCCCAGAGCAATGGAGAAGGCCCAAAGGCCTTCCCCAAAAGAACAGCTGCAGAAGTACCTTTCTCAGTTAGATAAAGTCCTTAAATAGGTCTCCTATTTCTCCACAATGGGACTAAATTAAGAGTGAATAAATATCCTCTGAGGGGTAGGACCCTCCCACATCATAGAATATGAAAGGTTTTTTTAACGTTCGTGCTGAGGAGACAAGCCAAAATGAATTCACTAAATAAAATACATTCACAGAGCTAAAACTATATAAGGGAAAACATCTGAAAAACATTGCTGTGCCATCAAAGGAAACCAGGTGCAAAAAACTCAGTCTGGGAAGCAAAACAAATATTAAAAATTAACAACAGAATGGTCCCAAAATAACCTATAATCTCATGTTCTTTGTAAACGGGATGGAACTGAAAGCACATTTTGATTAAGGAGGGGGGAAAATTTACATTTTTTTTCTGAGCAAGAACATTTTAGCTTGGTTCTGTTTTATCTGCAAAAGACAAGAGCATTTGCTAACACACTACAGATATAGAAACAGTGCGTGTCTTTGCAGCCCGTGCTAAATTGGAACTTGAAAAGAGTTAACACAGCAAGTCCCTTCACAAGAGTCTCCCTTTAAATGTTCCCTGCGTTTGCTCTTCCAAGTTGTCTCAACAATAAATACATTTAGTTGTACCCAGGGACAGCAGCCACAATAAGACACTATTGGAAGCTCTCAAATAAATACCTCACCCAAAGATGGATGCTATTCCAGGAAAATGTTCCAAGTTCAACTAATGTGATACCATTTCTCCTCCTTCTTGAAGTGAGACCATTTTGAAGACTGATTCTTCAGTAGTTCATTGTAGCACTTCAGTTTTAAACCTGATCTAATGAACAGCAATAGAAGTTATGGGCTCTAAACATAAAGAATTGACATGTTAGCATATTAATGTACTCAGATGCCACATAAATCATTAGCAGACAGTTTGCTGAATGGGCTGGATATCCAGCCATATACATGCAAGCCTTGTTTAGTCCCTAAAGATAAAGCAACTTCCTGTTGGCAGAGGCCTGATTAAAACAAGATAGATGGTCGCTATTTATCGTCAAACTTCCCTTGCCTAAAATTTCTCCAAGTTTCCGAAATTATATCACTTGATCATTTAAAGTAAAGCTTTAAAAAAAATCAGTCAGCAGAGTCCACTTCAAACTCTGCATGATAATAAAGGATTATTATGTGCAGTAACCTATTTATGAAAAGGAAACAGTGTGCTTCTTTCAGACTCCATCAATTGCTTTAATAAGGAATTGAAAAGCTTGGCCTACTTTATATGCAGATCACCATCCCAGTTGCATAAGGATTTACAATAGACAAAACAAAACTGTTTTTGTTGTAAATAAGGGCTGTTTGTTTAAATCGCACAGTAATGTTTGCATCTAAAAATTATTTACAGGCTAATACGGCTCCATAAAGTTGGCGTATATCACTTGTTAATTAAAATGGTTTCAATATTTTCCAGGAAGGACAGACATGTACAGTTAAGGTGTTAAGATAGAGACTCGAGTATCACGAGCCTATGGGGAAAGCAAACCCGAGAAACGTCCTCCCTCCATTGACCAATGCGCGTATTAGAACGCGGTTGGAGATTGAAGGTAATCAATTGGTGACTTATAAAACCAAAAAAATTACAGTATTTCAGAGGAGTTATTTATCAACTAGGTGAGGATTATTGCAACATTACTTCCCCTTTAGATATGGCACTATCGCACAGCTGACAGTTGCTGTGATGCACATCTCAATCTCTGCTCCCCCAGCAGGCCAGCTGAAAGGACTGGGTTCTAATCTCACCTTTGAAATCGCTCTGCAAATTAGTTTGTTCATTAACGGGTTTGCCTGTGCGTGTAATGAAGTGTGTGGTGGCCCCTGCTGGTGCACACGCTTCTAAAACAAAATGAAAATGTTCCACCTGGCAGGAAAACAACCGGTTAATTCCAACCCAAATGTTAGAAATATAAACGCTGTCATAAAATGTACAAAAATATCTAATTTAATGCAGAAAATAGATATTACAAGTAGAGTAATGTTCTCTTCAGTATGAAAATAATCTTAAACCACAGAACATTACTGTGTTAGCTGCAGTGTAATGAATTAAGAAGGGACATTAATTGTTCAGTTCACTATGAGATCATGTTAAATGTCTTTTATTAATGAACTGTTACCCCCAGCTGAGGCAGTTGATTACCTCTAGTCCATTGCTAAATCCCCTTAGTTGATTTTCAGTGAATCACTTAAAACAAACCCAGAGGGAGAAAAAGAACAGAATAATTTACAGTTCGAGTCCTAGACCTAAATTCACTTAAAGAAGGGCAGCTTTCCTATAAATCAACCTCTCGATTTAATGCAGCTGACATATAGATCTATTGTACATCTTTTTTTTTTAATTTCAAAAATACAACACATTAAAATAGGTTCAATTTATCAAAGCTAAGAGCAACAATTAAGTAATAATGTACTTAAAGTGCAAAGGCACTTTAACACAAAGAAGTGACGCCCAGTGGCTACACTTGGTAATTGAAACAGCAGTACTGTATATTATTATTTACAAAAAAAAAAAAAAGAAATAGTCCAGAAAAAAAAGATCTTTGGAGATCTT